TTATTATCATCATCATCATTATTAACCATCATTATTATTATTATCCTTATTATTGTTATTATTATTATTATTATTATTATTATTATTATTATCATCATCATCATTATTAACCATCATTATTATTATTATCCTTATTATTGTTATTATTATTATTATTTATTATTATTATAAGTAATTTTATTATCATCATTATGTTAAATCAGAGACAGACAGACAGACAGGGAGAGAAACACACACAGAAACGGAGAAAAAGAAGGAGACATAGAAAGAGAGACAGAAAAAAAAATTCAAACAGAAAAAAAATAAATCGGCGTCCTAAAATTCCCGCCAGTAAATAGAGCTGTCTCCGCCCCACCGCAGGCATCTTGAATGGGTCGGTTACACGCCGGAGAGAGAGAGAGGAAAGTCAACACGAGAGACAAAGGCCTACGAAGCCTCAGCCTTAACCCCCCCCCTCCCCCCTCCTCCCCTTCTCTCCCTTCCTCCTCTCCCCTGCCCTCTCTTCCCCTCCCCTCCCCTCGTCTCCCCTCCCATCCCTTCCTCCTCTCCCCTCCCCTCCCCTTCCTTCCCTTCCCCATCCTCTCCTCCTCTTCCTCCCCTACCCTTCCCTACCTCTCCCCTCCCCTCCCCTCCCTACCTCTCCCCTCTTTTGACACCCTTCCACCATTCCCTCCCCCCCCCTCCACCCCACTCAGCCCCTCACACGCACATTGGGCCTACAGACCCATCATACCCACCCTCCGACGATCCCTCCCCCACTCCCCCCCCATACCCACCCTCCCATGATCCCTCCAACCCTCCCTCCCCTCCCCCCATACCCACCCAATGCCCACCAATACCCCCAACCCCGTCGTCCCTTTTCCTCTCCCTCTAAAACTCCATCAGACTCGCTCAAAACAACAAACCTACATAAAACAACAAAACAAAACAACAAAAAACAATAACAAAAACAACCGAAAGTTCTCCTCCTCCACCCAGACAACCAAAAAGACCAAGGAACGAGTTAATTAATTAATCGACAATACTCTGAGCATAATCAAGTCGACTCCCCTCCTTCCTCGGGCCGAGAAACCGGACACTGCCTTCTCCAGAAACGCGAGCTTCTTCAGGAGTTGTACCTTCATCGGCGAGACGGGCGCGGAGACACTGGTATTTATCTTTATCTATTTTTATCTATTTCTTATTTATAACAAGCAAGAGTTTTTATCTAGTTCTTATTTATAACAAGCAAGAGTATTTATCTATTTCTTATTTATGACAAGCGAGAGTTTTTATCTAGTTCTTATTTATAACAAGCGAGAGTTTTTATCTATTTCTTATTTATGACAAGCAAGAGTTTTTTGTCTATTTCTTATTTATAACGAGCAAGAGTTTTTATCTATTTCTTAATTATAAAAAACATGATTTTTTATCTATTTCTTATTTATAACAAGCAAGAGAGGAGAGATCAAAAGGAAACGCGGAATCAATTTTTAGAATACGCGAAACACGTAAAACAAATGCGGAAAATCGCTGAGAAAGACGCGGATATATTGTTTTTGTTGTTGTTGAAAAGTAAAACAAACAAGCAAAGAGAGATCACAAACAAACGCGGAATCACTTTTAGAATACGCGAAACAATTAAACTAAAATTAAACGGAAAATCGCCGAGAAAGACGCGGATTTTTTTTTTTTTTGTGAGAAGTAAAACAAACAAGCAAAAGAGATACTGAAAGAGTTCTTGCTTACGAAATCACAAACAAACGCAGATGAGATGCTGAAGGAATCACAAACAAACACGAAATCACTTTTATAACACATGGAACAAACAAACACGAAATCACTTTTAAAACACATGAAACAAACAAAACAAACACGAAAGATAATTTTACTTCTGCACTCCCATCGCTCGGACTGACGCGGAAGCACATTCAAAACAAATAAAACAAACAAAAGATAATTAATGCTGCACAAAACCCGCTAACGTATAACCGAGGCAGCCACAGAGACATAATTAGATCAGATTAAACAAACAAACAAATTAAATCAACACGGAAAAGAATTTACCGACGTACTTCGCAATCGCCATGATAGACGCGCCAGCATATACAAAACAAAAACAAACACACAAACAAACAAACAAACAAACCAAACCCATTGAGATTCCTCCTCACGCTCTCCCATCACTGAACCAGAAACGACGACAAGGAATAAGAAAATAGGAAAATAAACGCCACGTAGATCCCCCAAAGTGTAAAACAAAGTAAAACAAACAAAACAAATACAAGAAAGAGAATCTTACTCTCTCACTCACATCGTCCAGACAGACACGGAGACACACGAAGATAAGGAATATAATCGGTACTGAAGGAGAATGAGGATTTACATACGGTACGTCAGGAAAAAAAAAAAAAAACGTCAGGAGATACACATGGACATCGAGAACCAAAACGTGGTTTAATGAGAGAGAGAGAGAGAGAGAGAGAGAGAGAGAGAGAGAGAGAGAGAGAGAGAGAGAGAG